TTTGCAAATGAGAAGGAAAAAATCTCAGTTTATATCTCAGTTCAAATAGAAAATTAACTGCACCAATCCTAACATGAAAACAAAAAGCCTAAGATTATTTAAAAATTTTTAAAACAAAACTGCACTTGAAATGTTCAAGTCATGGGGTGCCTGGGTGGCCAGTTGGTTAAGTGTCCGACTTAAGCTCAGTTCATGGTCTCACCGTTGGTGAGTTCAAGTCCCACGTCAGGCCCTGTGCTGACAGCTCAGAGGCTGGAGCCTGCTTTGGATTCTGTATCTCCCTCTGTCTCAGCCCCTCCCCTGCTCACACTCTGTCTCTCTCTAAAATAAATAAACATTAAAAAAAAATTGTTTTAAATGTCCAAGTCATTACAAAACAAGATCTCAATTTAAAGCCACAAAATATGCTTTTCACTTTTTAAAAATAAAAATATATGCAAAATACAAAAATACAACTAAAAAATTAACCACAAAAATAACACAGAATGTAAAACAGAACTGATATTTTCAGTATTCACACAAGCCATAAAATACTAGGCAAAATTTTAAAACAATTTTTGTGGAAACTATCCAATATATGAAGATAGACACACACACACACACACACACACACACACACACACACACACACACCCCTATACAAAAGTTTCATTTTGATTTCATTTTGATTTAAAAACTTCCCTTTAACCCATTCAGAGCTAAAGTAGACTGAAAATTTTAAATGTTTCAAAAACATCCTAATTGTAGAAAACTTATAGAATACTTAATACTTTATCACTTACACTTTTACCAGCCACATTTCACTGAATTTTTAAAAAATGTATTTGGAAGCTTTCCAGTGCACTCAAATGAATATTCATTAAAATAAGAATGCTTTTTGTTTTTCCAACTATCATCTGTTGTTTACATCATATTAAACAATATAAATTTTCAATAAAACCTGCATTGAATTTTTAGGAAAGAAAAAAAGTGATCCTTAACGAACCCAGAAGGTAACTATGAAAAGAATCTCTGGTGTGGAATAACACACCTTTATAATAGTACTCATCATTTTGCATTTAAGCATCATGAATTTGTTTTAAGAGGGTGTGAGGAGAATTAATTCAGCAGTTAGGGCAAGTAGAGGTCCATAAGAAGAGCTCTCCCAGTATATATGAAAATGAATCAAAATATTTCTGTGATAATCCACCAATTGACAAGCATGCTCTTGGCTTCAGTTATAGAGTGATTCAGAAGAGAAAATAAACTAGGTCATATATAGATGGATTAGTCAAAGTTCTACAGTAAACATTGATTTATGAGGCACTCTAGAACGAACAAAACTAGGGTATTACTAATGCAATATAAATGCCAATAAATCAGAGTTAAGCACAGTGAGAGAACTGTGAAAAAGGAAAGTTATGGAAATATTTATATTAAAAACTTGATATAAAACATCATATACAAACTCAAAGTCCTATGGGATTCCGGCATAAGTGCTCAGTGTTTTGTTACGTTTATTGATGCTCCCAGGAGCTCAAGTAAACCCCATCATCGCTTCTATGTCATAGTCAGCAAACAGGCTCAGGGGGCCCTAGCTAGTTGCTCAGATATTCCTAGCTGGGGAATCCACACCAAGACCTTGGTATTGTGCAGACCCTCCTCCCTACAGGTGGTTTTTGGGGACTGATTTGGATCAGGGGCTTCTGGGCTTCTGAGACGCCCCATTTCTTTCCAGCACACACGTGGGAGCATAGGCGTCTGGTGGTAACTGGGAGAGCTACAGGTGCCTGGCCCTAGGATGCCCCCTACAGGTGGAGCTATACAGGAATGGACACAGCTCTTCACATCTTCCAAAGGACCAGGGGTGGGGCAGCTCCTAATGCCCATTATACATAAGAGAAAACTGAGGCCCCCAATGGGCGCATTTGCCTGCGGGTCTTTATTATGGCCAGGAATCCAAGAATTAAACATAGGCAGCTTGGACCAGGACCTGGGGAGTGTGATCAATGACCTCTACATCACTACCACCCCACCCTCCGCCCCGCCAGGTTTTGGGACTCAAAGTAAAGTCTAACCCAGCCCATCCTGATGCAATGTTATCGGCCACCTGCTCCAGCCCACCAACCAATGGTCACCGATGGTGATAAAGCAGGAAAATGGGTAAACCACTACAAAGAAAGGCTTTATTGTATTCCTCAATGACTGGACTTAAGAATGTGATGGAGAATATGTTAATAATGCAGAAAAAATTTAAAAGGGTACAGCATAAGTGTCCATCCCATTGTGAATTGTGCACACACACACTTGTTTCACTGTCCTGTTTCTTAAAGGAAATAGTCAAAGCTCAAAGAATAGTAAAAAGATATGTGCAGACATGTTACCAAAGATGTAGATAGCAAATGAACGTTGGAAAAAATGCCCATTGTGAATCCTTACAGAAATGCAATTTAAACAGAAAGTGAGATAACACTAAAAACTTATTAAAAGGACTAAAATTAAAATGATTGGCCAAACAGAGGAAATGGAACTCTGAGACACTGCTGGGAAGATGCAAAATGTAGAATCAAAAGTAAAACATTTACCTACCCTGTGACCCAGACATTACACTCTAAGTTACTGACAGAAGATCAAGGAAACATACATTCACATAGAGAGCACTAATGTTTATACTAGCCTTATCTTCAGTAGTCAAAATCTAGAAAAAAAAAATCCTTGTACACTGATAAATGGATAAACTGGTATATCCAAAAATATTACTTGGCAAAAACGAATAAAACCCACTACTCACATAGTATCATTGATGAGTCTCTAAGTAATTGTGACACATAAATTCCAAACATAAACTCAATCTGTCTATTGTAGGAGAAACAAATGGTTACCTACAGAGGTGGGATGCAAAGATTATAAAAGGACCTAAGTAAACATACTGTGACAGATATGGTTATTATCAGGACTATGATGATGGCTTTAGAGGTTCAGAACTATGTCAAAACTTATAAAATTATACTTTAAATATATGCAGGTTAGTACATGTAGGCTATATCTTGAATAAAGCTCAAGATAGACTGTCCCACTCTTTTTGGAAAACAGGTTTGGCAACCTGTTTGGCACACTGACTCCATCAATCTTCCCCACGCCTATGGGGGTATCACCTCAGTGGCAGCAAATGTGGAGAACAGTGAAGAATATTTCCATACAAGTCAACAGGAATGCTCCACATCCCAGGAATATAGATCCTCCTTTATCTTTTTTTTCTTTTCCTGTCTGTGTGATAACGGCTTTGAGGCAAACATCACAGAATCCACAAAACCTTTTGATTATTTTAATTTTTATTTTTTTCTCTGACAATTACTTTAGCTACATAAGATAAATGTGCCCGGAGGTCCTGAGATTTGTGTACACACTGATCCTGCAAAGTCATGGTCACAGAAACTTTCCTGGACACATTTTTAGAAGAGGCACATTCCATCAAGTTGGCTGCAGTTTCCTCCACTCCCTATTAAGCCAGTGTTTCTTTATGAATTATGGTTTCCCCAGATGCCTGTGGTCTTACAACCAGTGACCCTGGCCCAATGGATTGTGGACATCAGGGCACATGGCTGTTTGCAGAGCTGTGGAAGAAAACACCTCAACAGTACTGACATCCCCTGTGATAGCTCCTCTAAGTGAAAAATTCATGCTGCTTTCAAAAGCCTCTGAGGGTCTCACACTTGTCCCCTGCTTGGGGTCATCCATCACTGAGACTCCTAAAACACAAAGCATCCAGACCTCAAATGAAAACCAGAAAGCCCTGCAGTTTTTCAGAGGTTGTGGGGCAGTGATACAGATTTGGTCAAGGCTGGCAAGCTACTTTCTGCCATCATCCTCTCCCTCCTCAGGCATGGACAATTTGAGACTCCTAAAAAGTTCACCCTCTAATGGTTGTTGAGCCCAAATCTGTTTATAAACCACCCCACAGAGTAAGTAGAACATTCAAGATTAAAAAGGATTTAAAAAGTAAGGCCTCGAGGGGCGCCTGGGTGGCGCAGTCGGTTAAGCGTCCGACTTCAGCCAGGTCACGATCTCGCAGTCCGTGAGTTCGAGCCCCGCGTCAGGCTCTGGGCGGATGGCTCGGAGCCTGGAGCCTGTTTCCGATTCTGTGTCTCCCTCTTTCTCTGCCCCTCCCCCGTTCATGCTCTGTCTCTCTCTGTCCCAAAAATAAATAAAAAACGTTGAAAAAAAAATTTTTAAAAAGTAAGGCCTCGAGGGGCACGTGGGTGGCTCAGTTGGTTCAGCATCTGACTTTGGCTCAGCTCATGATCTTATGGTTTGTGGGTTTGAGCCCCACATAGGGCTCTGTGCTGACAGCTCAGAGCCTGGAACCTGCTCCAGATTCTCTCTCTCTTGGCCCTCTCCCACTCGTGTGTGCTCTCTCTAAAAAATAAACATTAAAAAAAAAAAAGGGCCTTGATTATTGTTTAAGCCAAAGCAATGTGCAGCAGACCACTCTCAAGTTTGTGACTTGGAAACTGGAAAAACATCTCACAAGTATCACAGGAGACCATCATGTTCCTGAAAAAGGTAGTTATTCTCTGTAAGCTGCCAGCCAAACTCATATTCTCTGGGTCATCAATGATTCAGGTTCAGGCTGAAGGTAGTCAAGATGGGGAAGCTGACCCCTAAGGGCTCAGGTTACTCCTAATTTGCTCCAATTCATGAGGGAACAAAGGTCAGCCTCCCTGAACACACTATGGTGGTAAACTAATACACACCTTGGGGACCCGCCAGGCGGTAGAGGAGAACAGGCTTTGGGCACAAGATCTAGCTGTGACCTAAATCTGGAAAGAGCCCTGAACAGTATGGAAAGTGCAACATATTTACACAAGCTTACCATGTCAATGAAACTTACAAGGGATCTCCCCACTGAGCATGTTTAGATGTCTGAGATTCAGTTCAGATAGAGGACTCCTCAAAGCTCCCTCCAGAGTTGTTACAGTGGATAGGAAATTGAACATTCCCCGCACACCTAAGGCCTTTCTCTAGTGTGAACTCTCTGATGTTGAGAGAGTGTAGATTTTCGTGTAAAAAATTTCCCACATTCACTGCACTCATAAGGCCTTTCTCCAGTGTGACCTCTCCGGTGTTGACTGAATTGGGAACTATCCCTGAAGGATTTTCCACATTCGCTGCACTCATAAGGCCTTTCTCCAGTGTGAACTCTCTGATGGTAACGTAGCTTGGAGCTAGAGATAAAAGATTTCCCACATTCACTACACCCATAAGGCCTGTCTCCTGCATGAACTCTTTGATGATAACGAAGAGTGGAACTGGAAGTAAAAGACTTCCCACATTCACTGCATTCGTAAGGCCTTTTCCCTGCATGAACTCTCTGATGGTAAGAGAGGGTAGCGCTACTGGTAAAAGACTTCCCACATTCACTGCACACATAAGGTCTTTCTCCTGTGTGAACTCTCTGGTGTCGAATCAGTATGGAGCTGTTGGTAAAAGATTTCCCACATTCACTGCACTGATAAGGCTTTTCTCCTCTATGAACTCTATGATGATAACCAAGGCCAGAGATAGATGTAAAGGATTTCCCACAAGCACTACACTCATAAGACCGTTCACTATTATGAATTCTCTGGTGTATTGACAGGGAAGATTTTTGGCTAAAAGTCTTCCCACATTCACTGCACTCATAAGGCCTTTCTCCCGTGTGAGTTCTCCAGTGTTTATTGAATTGTGATCTATCCTTAAAGGATTTCCCACATTCGCTGCACTCATAAGGTCTTTCTCCACTGTGCACTCTGTGATGATAACGAAGGCTGGCACTAAAGGTAAAAGATTTCCCACATTCACTGCACTTGTAAGGCCTCTCTCCTGTGTGAACTCTCTGATGGTAACGGAGGGTAGAACTGGAGGTAAAAGATTTCCCACATTCACTGCACTCATATGGCCTTTTACCTTCATGAACTCTTTGATGGTAACAAAGTGTGGAGCTACAGGTAAAAGATTTCCCACATTCATTGCACACATACGGTTTTTCTCCTGTGTGAACTCTCTGGTGTTGAATCAGGGTCCACCTATTATTAAAAGATTTCCCACATTCACTACACTTGTAAGGCCTTTCTCCTGTGTGAACTCTCTGATGTAAAATAAGGTTATTTCTTCGGATAAAGGATTTCCCACATTCACTACACTCGTAAGGCCTTTCTCCAGAATGAACTCTATGATGATAATGGAGGTCAGATCTAGAAATAAAAGATTTCCCACATTCGTTACACTCATAAGGCCTTTCTCCAGTGTGAACTCTCTGGTGATAACGGAGGGCAGAGCTAGTAGTAAAAGATCTCCCACATTCACTGCACTCATAAGGCCTCTCTCCAAGGTGACCTCGATGATGATACTGGAGGGTGGAGCTACAGGTAAAAGATTTCCCACATTTATTGCACACATACGGCTTTTCTCCTGTGTGAATTCTCCGGTGTCGAATGAGTGTCCACCTATTGTTAAAAGATTTCCCACATTCACTACACTCATAAGGTCTTTCTCCAGTGTGAACTCTGTGGTGATAACGCAGGCTGGAACTAAAGGTAAAAGATTTCCCACATTCACTACACTCATAAGGTCTTTCACCTGAGTGAACTCTTAGGTGTATAATGAGGTTATTTCTTCGGGTAAAGGACTTGCCACATTCACTGCATTCATAAGGCCTCTCCCCAGTGTGAACCCTGTGATGATAACGGAGAGCAGTACGAGTGATAAAGGATTTCCCACATTCACTGCATTCATAAGGCCTTTCTCCAGAATGAACTCTCTGATGATAACGGAGGTCAGACCTAGAGATAAAAGACTTCCCACATTCACTGCACTCATAGGGCCTTTCCCCTGTGTGAGATCTCTGATGATAACTTAGGGCAGAGATAGAGGTAAAAGATTTTGCACAGTCACCACACTTATAAGGCCTTTCTCCAGTTTGAACTCTACACGGAATCAACACTGAGCTCTGACTAAAAGATTTTGCACATTCACCACACATATAACTGTTTTCTCCACCGTGCCATCGCTGGGGATGAATAAGAACAGATTTGTGGCTTAAAGATTTCCCACATTTGCTGCACTTGTATTGCCTGGATCCGGAGTGAGTCTTTCCATGCTGACTGAGGGTTGAGCTTTGCCGAAGGGATTTTCCACATTCATCAAACTCATGATGCCTTTTTCCAGTATGCAATCTCTGGTGGATAACAAATGAAGATTTGTAGCTGAATGTTTTCCCACATTCACTGCACACAAAACACTGGTCCTGAGAAAGCGTGTGTTTGGGACCGAAGGCTTTCTTGCATTCTCCCCAGGTGTAATGACTTTTTCTGCTCTGTATAGTTGCCCTGCACTGGCTGATTGTGTTTAGCTTTTCTCCAGTATGAATGGCCCCTTGTTGCAGATGCCCCGAGCCAGGCAGGAAGTCTTTCTCAATCTCTCCACAGGTAAAGGGCTTTCCTGAATCATGGAATCCACAGCTCTTCACAAAAGAGGTCCTGTCCACACTGCTTCTGAATGGTTTCACTCCCGTGTGCTGCTCTGGCTGATGCTGAAAGTTTACGCTGAAATAAAATCGTTTTGCGCATGCCCCACACCTCAACAGTTTCTGGCTGCTTGGCTTTCCCTGGTGCTCAGCCAAGTGGAAAATGTCTCTCAAGACCGGACCACACATCTCACAGGGGTGGGTCTTCCGGGAAGACAGCGCTGCCTTGGGCGTGCTGGCCTGTGACACACCTACAGAAACGCTCTGTTCAAGGGGTGCCTCCGCATCCTCTGCTCCACAGCAGCAACCTGAACGCAAAGAAACTCTCATGAAATACATGGTGACTACAGTGAGGGGTAAGCCCGTCACGCATATGCCCCTGTCTCGTGTAGGCACAAGTTTATGGGATGCTTTTCCAGACACAGGAGTTGGAATTCGGTTGTGCATTACTGGGATCCTAAGGTCACAGACTGGTGGATAACCCACACAGCATATGAGACAAGGAAGAGAGATGAGGACTACAACTCGTTTCTCTGCCAACGGTTATTGGCAGGACCTTTGCCACTGCTGATGAGATGCTGAGTAGAAGCATGCATCCAAGCCCACTAAAATCCAGCTGCAACAGATTAGCTGCTGTTCCATGTCATTGTAAGGACACGTGAATATCTCATGGCTAATGCTGGAGCACACAGAAAGAACACTGAGAGAAATGGGTGAGATGAGGAGTCAGAGAGGTGATGATCATCACTGCACTGAAAGTCATAGTAGAAACGATGAGAAGAACCAAGAAATTGGCAAAGTGTCAAGCCAGAGAAGAAAAAGGTAGTAATGAAGTGCGGCCAGTGGAAATGACATGAAAAGTGGGGGTGAATAAAGACAGGTTTCTGGTGTAATCTGAGCACATCCCTGATGGCACACTCTCTCCAGCCATTCACCAGGACCAGCCCATCCCTTCCCCCGCTGAGTCCACCTTGCCACATCTGGAGTCATGTCCACCCTGTAATACGCAAGGACTCTTCTCTGTAAGCCCTGAGCAACTACATGGGACATGGATGATACAAGTCCTAAGGGAAAAACAGGACAAATGAATAGCCAGCCCTGTCCCAGGGCTGTCCAGCACACAACAGGCCTAGAAAAAAGAGCAAGGTAGATGATGTCAGCATGACAGCAGAGGAAACCAGCCTTTGACCTTAGCAGGTTTAGGAGTCCAATTAAGAGGGGCGGCTGGCTATCAACAATATCCAAATTATGGAAAGAACCCAATGCCCTTTGACTAATGAAAGATGATGTGGCATGTGTACGTACATACATACACACACACTAAGTGTGTGTGTATGTACACACACACACACACAGAGGAATATTACTCAGTGATCAAAAGGAATGCAATCTTGCATTCCTTGCACGTATGTACGTACGTACATACACACACACTAAGTGTGTGTGTACACACACACACACACACACACACACAGAGGAATATTACTCAGTGATCAAAAGGAATGCAATCTTGCCATTTGCAATAATGTGGATGGAACTAGAGTATATTATGCTAAGTGAAGTAAGTCAGAGAAAGACAAATATTCTGTGATTTCATTCATATGTGGAATGTGAGAAACAAAACAGATGAACACAGGGGAAGGGAAGGAAAAATAAATAAGATAAAAACAGAGAGGGAGACAACCATAAGAGAGTCTTAAATACACAGAACAAACTGAGGGTTGCTGGAGGAGAGGTGGGCGAAGGGTGGACTAAATGGGTGATGGGCATTAAGGAGGATGCTTGTTGGGATGAGCACTGAGTGTTATATGTAAGTGATGAATCACTGAATTCTACTCTTGAAACCATTATTACACTACATGTTAACAACCTTGGACTTAAATGAAATTTTTAAAACATTTTTAACAAGAGGGGCACCTGGGTGGCTCAGTTGGTTAAGCATCCGACTCCTGATTTCAGCTCAGGTCATGATCTCACAGTTCATGGGACTGAGCCCCACGTTGGGCTCTGCACTGACAGCGTGGAGCCTGCCAGGGATTCTCTCTCTACCTCTCTCTCTGCCCTTCCCCTTCTTGCTTTCTCTAACACATTAAAAAAATATTAAAAAAGAGTCCAATTAAGACACAACAGCAACACAAGGGAGCACACAAAAAGGAGAATAACCACAAAAAGGATTGATGGGGACACTGGCTTAGTGAAGACACCTGGAGAGACAGAAAATAAGGGTGGGCACTGTATGTGTCAGCCAAAGGGGTGATGCCACTGCATTCTGCAGTGGCCTACTCTACAGGGGACCCCAGGAGCCACTGCTGCGAACCTCAACAAGTCCCACTACAGCTGTGGACTATCACAGGTTACACAGCAGAAGTGTCCAGGTGTTTGTAGACATGGACCCCAGATGTCTGCTGTGCAGAAGACCCTGGCAGCTTCTGCACTAACATGACCGACAGCTGACACCATGGGGACCTGCCAGGGAATAATAACTGAGCTGCCCCCTCTGCCAAAAAAGGAGCTACTGCTCCACCCCGGGAGCAGAGCTGGCACTCACATCAAACCCGCACACACCCTGGACCCAAGAGATGCAACTGCTCCGTGGTTGCCCATATTCCATAACCTGACTCCATGGCTGTCACCTGAGTGCCCAAGCCTCAAGTACCAAAGCCATGGCCACTGTGGGCTAGCCAGCTCCTCAAAACCCAGAGACACTGTCTAAATGTACCCATGCTCCTGTCACAGGTTCCATCAATGCTCAGTGTCCAACCGCATCTCACATAGCACACTCAACACTGCTGCAGACTATTTGGCATCTGGGACCCTAGAACTGCTAATGCTCTGTGTCAGTTCACACCCTAGAAACCAGACCTGTACCTGCTCTGCAGGTGCCTGCACATCAGACACCAATGCTACCACCACCAGGAAGACACCCAAGAGCTGGACTGGGCATCAAGATGGGAACCCCATGGCCAAAATACTTCCTGTGGGAGAAAGTGTTTCTCTACTACTGTGGACACACAGAGCCTTAGCTATTGAGGACTCCTGCAATCTTTCTAACATTGATCTCAGATGACAGAGCTGCAGACACTAAGCCTCTTGGCCATCTTGTAGTGGGAACTGCCACACACAGGTAAAGATCTTCCCCACTAAAACCTTTCTGTAAAGTCTAGAAGTGACTACTCCATGAAATGTACAGACATCAATGCAAGGCTACAAGAAACACAAAAAAATCAAGGAAACAGAACACCCCCAAAGGAACACAGTAATTTATCCATCACCCTAACAAAATGCAGATCTATGAACTGTCAAAGAATTCAAAATAATTGTCTTAAGGGAGTTCACTGAGCTACAAGAAAATACAATTTAATGAAATAAGGAAAACAATTACAAAAGATTTTCAACAGACAGATACAAAAATATAAAAAAGAACCAAACAAATTACGGCATACTATATTGTACACCTGAAACAAATATAACACTGTATGTTAACTATACTGGAATTTAAATTTAATAATAAAAAAAGTTAAGGTGAAGAATACAATGAATGAAACAAACCAAAAAATACAGAATAGAGAATCAGCAGCCAACCTGATCAATCAAAAGAATGAATCTGAAAAGAAAAAAAAAAAAAAGAAAATCTGAAACTGAAGATATTTTGAAATTATTCAAATTAGAAAAAAGACAACAAAAAAAATGAATAAGGAAAGTCTGTGTGGATTATACATCATAAAACAATATTTGCATTATGGTGGTCCTGAAGGAGAAGACAGACAGACAGAAAGGGACAGAAATCTCATTTAAACAGTCACAGATTATAGGGGCGCCTGGGTGGCGCAGTCGGTTAAGCGTCCGACTTCAGCCAGGTCACGATCTTGCGGTCCGTGAGTTTGAGCCCCGCGTCAGGCTCTGGGCTGATGGCTCAGAGCCTGGAGCCTGTTTCCGATTCTCTGTCTCCCTCTCTCTCTGACCCTCCCCCGTTCATGCTCTGTCTCTCCCTGTCCCAAAAATAAATAAACGTTGAAA